CTGTCTGCAGCCAGGTTATGAATTAAAAGCAGCTCACTGCTGTTGAGGCTGTGTATACAAGTCTTTCTGGCATGGATGGTGTGGCTCATGAGGCAGGCTTACGGCGAGGCATTCAACAAAACATTCATTTATTTTGTGCAAACACTATAATGTTTTAGCATACAAAAAGCACAGTATATTAATGCGGCCAAAATCTATCAAATGCCTGGAGTATCCCTTTAAGAATGCTATGGTACAAAGAGAAGGTGAATAATTGTGCCTGGTGATGTCTCAGGCAAGATAGTATATAGTTAACTAACCACTGATATCTTATTGTATAAAACACTTCTTAGGTTTTTTTTTTTTTTTTAATATAATTTGTATTCAGTTTTGGCAAAATAGAAAGTAATATTCTGAAGTTGGACCCTTTGCTAATGTAAACATGGTAACCAATGTATTTGGCGATTTGGAAATTAACCTTTTAAGGCAGAGAAAACATACAGTTGCAAGAAAAAGTATGTGATCCCTTTGGAATGATATGGATTTCTGCACAAATTGGTCATAAAATGTGATATGATCATCATCTAAGTCACAACAATAGACAATCACAGTCTGCTTAACTAATAACACACAAAGAATGAAATGTTGCCATGTTTTTATTGAACACACCATGTAAACATTCACAGTGTAGGTGAAAAAAGTATGTGAACCCCTAGACTAATGACATCTCCAAGAGCTAATTGGAGTGAGATGTCAGTCAACTGGAGTCCAATCAATGAGATGAGATTGGAGGTGTTGGTTACAGCTGCCCTGCCCTATAAAAAACACACACCAGTTCTGGGTTTGCTTTTCACAAGAAGCATTGCCTGATGTGAATGATGCCTCGCACAAAAGAGTTCTCAGAAGACCTACGATTAAGAATTGTTGACTTGCATGAAGCTGGAAAGGGTTATAAAAGTATCTCCAAAAGCCTTGTTGTTCATCAGTCCACGGTAAGACAAATTGTCTATAAATGGAGAAAGTTCAGCACTGCTGCTACTCTCCCTAGGAGTGGCCGTCCTGTAAAGATGACTGCAAGAGCACAGCGCAGACTGCTCAATGAGGTGAAGAAGAATCCTAGAGTGTCAGCTAAAGACTTACAAAAGTCACTGGCAAATGCTAACATCCCTGTTAGCGAATCTACAATACGTAAAACACTAAACAAGAATGGATTTCATGGGAGGATACCACAGAGGAAGCCACTGCTGTCCAAACAAAACATTGCTGCACGTTTACAGTTTGCACAAGAGCACCTGGATGTTCCACAGCAGTACTGGCAAAATATTCTGTGGACAGATGAAACCAAAGTTGAATTGTTTGGAAGAAACACACAACACTATGTGTGGCGAAAAAAAGGCACAGCACACCAACATCAAAACCTCATCCCAACTGTGAAGTATGGTGGTGGGGGCATCATGGTTTGGGGCTGCTTTGCTGCTGTCAGGGCCTGGACGGATTGCTATCATCGAAGGAAAAATGAATTCCCAAGTTTATCAAGACATTTTGCAGGAGAACTTAAGGCCATCTGTCTACCAGCTGATGCTCAACAGAAGATGGATGTTGCAACAGGACAATGACCCAAAGCATAGAAGTAAATCAACAACAGAATGGCTTAAACAGAAGAAAATACGCCTTCTGAAGTGGCACAGTCAGAGTCCTGACCTCAACCCGATTAAGATGCTGTGGCATGACCTCAAGAAAGCGATTCACACCAGACATCCCAAGAATATTGCTGAACTGAAACAGTTCTGTAAAGAGGAATGGTCAAGAATTACTCCTGACCGTTGTGCACGTCTGATCTGCAACTACAGGAAACGTTTGGTTGAAGTTATTGCTGCCAAAGGAGGTTCAACCAGTTATTAAATCCAAGGGTTCACATACTTTTTCCACCTGCACTGTGAATGTTTACATGGTGTGTTCAATAAAAACATGGCAACATTTCATTCTTTGTGTGTTAGTTTAAGCAGACTGTGATTGTCTATTGTTGTGACTTAGATGATGAACAGATCACATTTTATGACCAATTTGTGCAGAAATCCATATCATTCCAAAGGGTTCACATACTTTTTCTTGCAACTGTAGTGAAGGTTCTTATATAGATATCTAGAAAAGACCAAGATTAAAGTAAGTAAGTATATAACTATCTTTAGCTTCATCCATGGCCACTGCACAACAACTAGGGATGTCACCTTCGGCGATCTTTTGCTAAATATGAAAAGACCATCAAATGTGACAGATCCTCTTTAATGAAGTCATATGATTCACCAAGTAGGTCAGTGTTTTACCTAGTGCAACATAGAAGGTTGAGGCCACCATGCTGTCACTTAAATGTGTGATTAAGATGCTTACTACTTACACCTACTTCATTTTTTTTGCTGTTTTTATTTTTCACGTTTCAGATATCATATTAATCATTATATATTACATTTCTCTTATGCATGAGGAGGGTTGAAATTTGCATTAACTCAGCAAAGCAGACAGAAAGTATAAATAATTTAAAAAAGGTATAGTATAATATGTATTAATGGTATTTGCAGCACCAATTAAGGTGACCCACTTTAAAACCCACAGTACAGGTGCTAGGGTTACAAATAGAGTACAAGAAACAACTGCATGGTAAGCTGGAGACAGCTTGCAAAAGAGATGAATATATGATGAAGTCACATTGTGAATCAATAACTTTAGAATACATTCTAATATATATTTAGAATAATCTATTAAATAAAAACACTATACTTAGAAGAACACATAAAGTCCCTATAGACATTTTGAAACAACATGTAGTGTTGACCAAAACCCTCTTAACATCTGAATACCATGTAACTCATCAATCGTAAAAGTGCCTTAAAACCCATCTCTTTAGGAAAGGCCTCCCAGAGTAACCTCTACTTTACACACTTGTCTCTTGCTCTCTCCTATAGGGCAGCGCTTTACTCTCTCCTCCAGCTCTGCTTCACTCCCACCTTATTTGATTGCTATTTCCTGTCCTAATGTGTCTTATACCCCACCTGTTATAGACTGTAAGCTCGTTTGAGCAGGGTCCTCTTCAACCTATTGTTCTTGTAAGTTTTAATGTAATTGTCCTATTTATAGTTACATCCCCCCTCTCATAATATTGTAAAGCGCTACAGAATCTGTTGGTGCTATATAAATGGCAATAATAATAATAATAATATTGGCTCATGGGGTGTTATAAAAAGCCACAGGTAAGGGCAAATATATCATCAAGTGAATGAGTTTATCATTGAATGCTATCTGGATTAAATGCGCTCTTATTGTACAAACACAGCCTCAATATCGCTAGCGTTATTAAAACTGCAATGTTTTATACTTTTTTTTGTGATACATCTCCCATAAATCCTTAGTCAACCAATCTATTTACATAGTCACCTATTAAAAACGCAAGTCTCTCTATCGTTTTCTCAACTTCCCTAATGCCGCATTGCCTCTATTAATTCTATTTTGTCCAATTGTAGATAAACCAGGGCATTATTCAACGTAATAAATCCATGTGCAGCAAAAAGGAATGTTCACTTTTCTAGGAAAGTTAAGAAAAACATTTTTTTCTGCTCTCGTGAATGAAGGCTTGAAAAAAAAAATCATATAGTTGAGAAAAACTGAGAAAAAATGTCTGGCCTGTTGGAATAAGATGGTCTCTCCCATTTGCCCTCTGTTTACACGAGCTTTGCATTAGACAGGCAATAAATTATATGTGTTATTTTCTTTCTCAAGCTGTCTAAGTCAGTGCCATTCTTTCCTGACATATAAAAGCCAATTTCAGGCAAAATATGAATTCTTTGAGCTTTCCCTGATCTATTTCACATTGCAGGAAGCTGTAGCAGGCTAACTCAAATGTTATAAATGTCAGTTTTGGTTTCACGAAGTCTGTTGAAATGGTAGATATAGTATATAAAGTATCTCTATATGATCTATCAAAACAATGTCATACAATGTATTAAGAGACTGGGACTTGTTAGACTGAAAGACAATTGTGTCAAGCTGTCAAAGAAAGAGAAGAATTTATGTAATTTTACTGATTTTGAAGGTACCACAACAGGGCTATTAATATATTTAGCATCTACCGTGGTTTATCATAAAGACTGAACAGTAATATCACAGTAACTGTATCAATCAGACTAACCATTCCATACTGCAGGATTCATTGCGGCACATTGTCATAAATATTGTCCCTTGCCAGGCAGAAGACGGGGCAAAATGAAATACTCTCTGTAGCTAAATCTCAATCTTCTTGCCTATAGGAAATGCAAGTGATAAATGAACAACCTAAGGTCACCTTGATATATAACTATATATTTACCTGTGAACTGGTAAAAATAGCAACATCTAATCACAGTCTAGTATTGGCTTGCTATTGTTTTCCATTAAGTTGTAGAATGTTATCTGTGCAATTTTTTATACATTACTGCCTCTTTACTAGAAAAAAAACACTTTTTAACGTCAATACGCTTGTTTACATTAGCATAACATTTATTTGAAGAAAAATATATAGTTAGCATATAAACATATAAATAAAACAGCTATTTTGTGCACAGATTACATTTCAGACAAAATGAAAAATTTAAATTATGTACATAGCCACATTTTTTTTAACTTATTTGTTCAGCCTTTCTAAAAAATATTTGAGAAGTGAAATGTTTTAGACCGAGCTTTTTCTCTTGCAATATTTCACATATGGTGTGAAATTTTACTATAAAAGCAAAAACTAATTTTCCTCACATAAAGTATGTATACAAAATGGTAAATGCATTGCTTATAGGTATTTGTAAGGACACTGATAGTATTACTAGCATTAGAGCTTACTAAAAAATGGCAGCAGAATGTAATAAGAATATCTGCATATGAGCATAATGTCCACATACAGTAAATATGGTGAAATAATATATTGATAAAATAAAGGTATTTAAAACTGATATAGCAATATTTTTCACTTTTTGGACTGCTAATGTCATTTGAACAGTGAAATTATACAATTGAGGAGGGAGGGGTAGGAGTGAATGGACTCCTACCCCTCCATTCACTCCTACCCCTCCCTCCTCAACTGTAGGAATAATATGACCCATTGAAAATTCCTTTACTGTTTAAAAGCAGGGGGTGAGCAGACTTTTTCAGCACATATGCAGGTATTAAATCAGTGGCTTTTGGCAGAGAATTTAGTTACTCTACAGGCTGGTATTAATTCCTGGAGTCAAATGGAGGGTGAGTGAGATTTTATAGACTAAATTTAATTCTGCAATATACATGAAAGTAAAAACATTTATACTCTGTTCTGGGAGTGAAGTGGTGAAAATTGGCATGAAGACCAATGTTTTTACTGAAAATCTGGGGATGTCTAAAAACAAAACAAAACAAAAAAACATGAAAAAAGTTAGAAACAGTATAAAAAATGTATCCCACAGTATAGAAAATGAATACCTAGTCATGTTTTTTTTAGGTAATAAGGCCTCTAATAAGAATAGTATGAATATTTATTTTATTAAGTTATGCAGTTCTAAATTAAACCATCTTCCAGCAACAGTGTGTTTTATTTTGTTTTTATATCAAAACTTGGGTTGTATCATTGGCAAATAAACTAAAAAGTCGATTTACTAAAACCAAAGTAATACACAAAATAAATTACGTTTGTAAGTCCAGAAAAAAAGTGTTCTAGTGTGTATATATAACCATGCCCATAACAAAATTCAGGAAAAATCACATTGGACAGTTTTCCCAATGTAATATTTAATAACAACAACAAATTAGAACCAACATTTTTTTTTTAAATCAAGTAGTTTTAACAAAATAGTAAATATATCAATAATGAACAAACAACGCCCCCCCCCCCCCACACCCCTTCCAAAAAAAAACAGGAATTACAATATTTCCTAGTTTGTATTCACATGTCCTGCAAGATTCAGGAGTGCAAGCCACTGGAAAGACATTCTGAAATGAAGATTTGGAGGTGTAATAGAAAGGTTTAAAGAAAACATTACATTAGAATCAGACATATGTTTATACATACATACATACAACATCTTTTTAATTTTAATATACATTACACATTTTTACTAGTTATGAGTATGTAAATCTAAGCATACTGACTGCGCACACATAAAAACACACTAATAATCGTATCAGGCTACTTAAATTTGCCTAAGAAAACAAATATGGGGATTCAGTTCCACCATATGGCCATATGGTGTTAAACCCATCACTACTTCACAGAACACCAATATCGGTGGGTCCTACACTAAACCCAAATGTGGGAGACAAATTAAATGGGTCTGGACCGTCGTAATAAGTGCTAAGAGAATGGCACATACGGAATAGGAAAGAGGAGGGATGGGGATAAGAGCTAGCAAGAATAAAAGTGTCACAGGAGATGGGACTCCTCGTACGTGTTCCTTAATTATACTTTGTTTCCCCTATACTGCATGGATCTGAGCGCTATTTGGAGAACTTGGGCGCTCAGATAAGGGCTATTTAACAATGTATTGTATGTGGGTTCCACTTGTTCACAAATCATGTTAAGGCTTGATTAGAAGATTGTGCGTGTCCCATCCTAAATAGGATAAAAAAGAGGCTTAATTAATCATCTGTGGGTAAGTATTAATGTTTCTTTTGGATAAGATCCTGGAACACAAGACTAATGGTAATTAACATATCTAAAGACCCCTTTTCTAAGAGGGAATCTAGACATATAGCAAATTACAGAGTTAGTTTATATTTAAACTAGACTCCCAAGACACTTATGTGTGACTTCTCACACCTTACAGAGTAGCTCTGCTGGGGTCCCAACTTCAAACAGGAATTTAGGTTGTAAGCTCTGACCTCCCGTACAATCAAATTAACCCCTTTTGAAATCGACACTACCACCTCTACCAGGCAGCCAGTTCATATATGCATGAACATAACTTTCATTTTACTGAACCGATCTGAGTGCTTTTTGGATATGTCGTACACTCTTCGAGAATATCATTTTTGTGGGGTCCGATGCTGTTGTCATGTATTTTTGTGATATGTAAAATTTGTATGTAAGTTTTCCTATTTGAGAGATAATGCTTAATTGGAGCTTAATTCTCTCTCAAACACAATGGCTTGTGGGAAGGAAACCCCTGTGATTTTGTATTAGAAACCCCATGCTAGGGGCACTGCATAAGAAGCAAAGTGTGGCCTAATAAAGTTAAGATTGCTGCTCTTACCCAATACAACTGGTTGCGTCCATTTTAATGGGGGAAACTCTACACAAAGAGAATACCTTCACTATATTCAGCACATCTCGAATTAGGACTAGTGGAGGATTGAAGGAATAACATCAATAGACTCACAAACCGGTGACAAAAAGGTCTGTGGGAAGGAATGTAGGTTGAAAAAAACAACTAGTTAAACCCAAAATGAGAGGGGGAAGGTCAGGAGTCTATTCACCTACACAGCCTCAACCATTCAGGGATGGCTGCAGAGCTCACTGTATAAATGTGTTCAGAATGTGGGCAGGCGGTAGTTTAACTCCACTTATGATGGAAACACCCTGGTTATGACTGTATTATAGAATACAAGTGTTGTGTTTTGCATAATGGTTGGTATGCTACAAGTGACAAACCTGGCAAACCATTGATGATTCAGGTACTACCAAATCCCTTAACAAAAAAAAAAGAAAAAAAAGAAAATAAGATGTGACCCATTGATGGGACATTTGTCATGCAGATAAAATAGAGAGGTGGGCCACCAGAGAGATAATCTTTAACATGGCATGAGATGACTGTCAGAAAAATAAACATTCTAATTCTACCAGTAATTTGGCTTTTATTGAATCTTTCCCACACAGACAGTCCTTTACTTTTCTTTATCATATCGTTCTGACCCTTTCTACACCTTGAAATGTAATTGGTTAGGATTACATTTAATTCTCTTGCATAATTTAGGATGTCTATATTTGTGTTAGAAATTTTATTAATTTTTTTTAGCATTAGAAGATATAGTAAATTTTTGAATAGCTATCGTTAGTATGCTCCTTATGGATTTGTATGGATACAAGATTGAATAATTTATAATTTTTTACCAATGGACTAGGGAATATATTAATCTGTCATAACTATAGAAATGTCTGATTTACTTTTTGCCTTTCTCTCTGGCCAATTCCATCACCAACATCACCAAGAAAATCAGTCATTGTTTAACAGCTATCACTTCAGTACAGAAACCGGTGGCATTTATGGAATTCCTGCAACTGATATGAATTCCTTCCCACAAATCTTTATTGGCAGGGGGAATATGGTTGCCTAGACATGGCTATAAAGAGATGCCACAGAGTAAAGATGGGGACAGCAGTGGAAAACACCATGCACCATTATCCTATAAACTTGTGTCAGCTGTTTGTTTTTGTTTTTTTACACCCACTAGACCAGCAATCAGTTCCTTTTAGATGGCTGGACAGCCATCCCAATCCACAACATGGAAACATAGAATGTGATGGCAGATATGAACCATTCGGCCCATCTAGTCTGCCCAATTTTCTAAATACTTTCATTAGTCCCTGGCCTTATCTTATAGCTAGGATATCCTTATGCCTATCCCACACATGCTTAAACTCCTTCACTGTCTTAACATCTACCACTTCAGCTGGAAGGCTATTCCATGCAACCCTCTTAGTAAAGTAATACTTCCTGATATTATGTTTAAACCTTTGCCCCTCTATTTTAAGACTATTGTTGTGGTAGTTTTTCTTCTTTTAAATATAGTCTCCTCCTTTACTGTTTTGATTCCCTTTATGTATTTAAATGTTTCTATCATATCCCCCCTGTCTCATCTTTCCTCCAAGCTATACATGTTAAGATCCTTTAACCTTTCCTTGTAAGTTTTATCTTGCAATCCATGAACCAGTTTAGTAGCCCTTCTCTGAACTCTCTCTAAAGTATCAATATCCTTCTGGATAAGCCAACAGGAGCAGCTCAAACATCATGGCCACAATAGCCTGTAGATGACTGTCACCATCTCTGCCCATGTTCTTCCAGTGTCTCTGGGAAAAGGATTTAACCCTTTCCCGACCGGAGATGTATCAGGTACGTCCGACAAAAAAACGGTCATCAACGACCTCGGACGTACCTGGTACATCCGCGGCAAAAACTGACCCATTTACTTACCTGCGATCCCCAGCATATATCTCAAAATACACTTATAATGTAATCATATACATGCATTTTATATTTATAATATATTATAAAATATTTTAATAATTTAATAATATATTATACATATATCAGAAATAAAAGTATATAACATCACTGGGGATGGAAGACAAACACTATGTGTGGGCCCAAAAATTCCTTTTGTGTTTTGTCACCCTGTTTTCATTATTTGTGCAGGGTATGTTGAAGGTATTGCTGGTCTGTGCATCTCCCCTTCCCCTTTTTCCTGTCCTATTGTTTCCCCAGCAGGGCGTATATGAATGATTCAAAACAGTAAAACTTATCACGATGATGATATCACCAGCAAAAGTGCAGTTTTTGTTTTAAAAAAATGCAAAAACAAATAAAAATGCTAACTTTGGCCAGCGTTCGTGACTAAGTAGCTACTACAAAAGACTGGACATACCCCATTTAAAATTCCCTGGGTTGTCTACATTTGCAAGTAGTATTACATGATGGGGTTAATTCACATTCCTGGGCTACCATATGGTCTCAAAAGGCAACATAGACACAGCAAACCAATCTGGCAAACGAAAATGGGCAAGCCCTATAATTACCCTATATCTTTCAAAAACACCATAAAACCTGTACATTGGGGGTATTGTTATACTCGGGAGACTTTGCTGAACACAAATATGAGTTTTTCAAAAACATATCACAGCGATGATATTGTCAGTGAAAGTGACATTTTTTGCACACACAAATGGCACTTTCACTGAAGATATCATTGTTGTGATGCGTTTTACTGTTTTATTAATATTTGTGCTCAGCGAAGTCTCCTGAGTATAACAGTACCAGCCATGTACAGGTTTTATGGTGTTTTCGAAAGTTACAGGGTCAAATATAAGGTTTGATTTTCCATTTTTTCACATAAA